TCTCAACCATAGTTTGGTCTTTTCTTTCGAAGTCACCTACCAAAAGAAAGAGCAGAATCTGCTGCATCTTTTGGTATATGAAGCTTATGGATGAAATCGAAAGAGAGCAGAGAAAATCGCATCGAGAAAAAAAAGTAGATTTTTTTTCACTACAACGTTGTGCATAACCTTTTGCTAGATGGAGGTAATAGAGTCATACTTTTCTAGTTACTCAAACTTATAGAACTTTCTTCGCTGATCATCTTGGCTGAATTTATTTCGAGTTTCACTTACAAAATGACAATGCTCCGATAACAATATTCATGATTTCGAGGTGCTGTGGATGATGGAACTAAGCAATTCATTAGTATTGCAACCCAAATGCCATAATTATTTTAGAAAAACTCGAAATAAATTCAGTCGAAATGATCAGCGAGGAAAGGTCTACAAGTATGAGTAACTAGAAAAGTCCGACCCCTTCATCCTTAAATAATTGCAAAATTGCAGCAAAAAATACACGAAGTTCGAGATTTTCTAGGATTTATCACCTCTTTTCCATATTTTAAGTGTAACTAAATGGAACCATAAATTCTATTTTTCACGAGCTTTCATTTGGTATAAAATTCATCGGGTATCCAACTCGAAAACATGGTCCTACCTTCCCCTAGCAAAATGTTATGCACAACGTTGTAGTGAAAAAAATCTACTTTTTTTCCTCGATGCGGTTTTCTCTGCTCTCTTTCGATTTCATCCATAAGCTTCATATACCAAAAGATGCAGCAGATTCTGCTCTTTCTTTTGGTAGGTGACTTCGAAAGAAAAGACCAAACTATGGTTGAGAAAAAGGAAGAATACAAAGGGGATAAATTCTATTGAGCTGCACTGTATTTAACTCCAGTTCGACTAAATGCGATTTGATTTTATAAAAAATTGATTGGAGTTCGAACCGAAACAATCCATCTTCGCTCTCTGTAATATATCGAGAAAGGATGTGAATGTATGGATGGGTGTGAGTGTGGGTGTAGGTGTAGGTGTGGATGTGGTGTGGGGATGTGGGTGCGTGGTGTGGGTGACGAGTGTGGGTGTGGGTGGGTGTCGCTGTGGGTGTTAGTAAAAACCAGGCACACTCACAAACTTAGCAACGGTTATGTAAGTTGTGTGTGAAATATGATTTTAGTTCATATTTTGATCAGCTCACGAGATCAATGCTGAGGTAAAGTTTTGATTGGTATTGGGATATAAATTTGTATTCTGATGAAAAGAAGGCGCCGGTGATATGGTTAGTGTCCGTTTAAATATAATTATTAGTTCGTTCTCAGTTGAATCCAGTTGCGCACTTTTTCATGGAAGTTGTAAATGGATATAATGAAAAGATTTAGTATTGTGGTGCTCTGGGCATTAAGAGGAGGCCGCTTGGTATGGGTTGGGAATGATATAAGTTTTTTATATTGTTAGTGAGGTGATTTAAATCTGTGTGGGTGAAATTGGTGAATGTGCTATTGCATTGAGTAAGAAGAGTAACGTGCGAAACCCTTTTTTTGGCCTTTTTAGTAAGGGGCTTCGTACAGAACCCGGTTTGTACGAAACGTGAAAAGGTTTAGAATTCGTTTTAAATCTCGGAACCCTTTTAGGCTCCGTATGGTACCTTTTTTTCAGTGAAGGTGCACAATATCTGGCCAATGCTCTACAACACAACAACGTAACACAATCCTGACCATTCTTCTTCTTCTTCAAGTATTCACTCACTATTTTTCACACATACTCACCACACTTAACTTAGGTGATAACAAGATCCACCTATAAGAAGCACAACATCTGGCCAATGCTCTTAAACACAACAAAGTAACAAAATTCTGACCACTGTTTTCATTCAACTACTCACTCACTATTTTCATAGACACTCACCGCACTACGTTTGGCAAGTAATATGATCAGTGACGATATGCAACGTGGTATCCAGGAATTATTAAAAAAAAAACACAATTGAATTGTTTTGCATCAGTGTTGATAAGGTGAATCGTAATAAAAAGACCTGTTTTATATTATTTTAAAAGTTACTAATATAGTCTTTGACTAAAATATTTTATGCTCATTCATACAGAGAACTGTTTGGTTTTGTGGAACACGATATGAAAACAGTATTGATGTATTTTAATAAACGTTTGATCCTCTTTCGCGTTGACTCTGACGCACATTTAACAGTGGTAAAAGCACAGATATAGTCTTGATGTTATTTATGAGAATAATTCATTACAACATTTAGAAGAAAAGAATTGATATTAGATTCAAAATGGTAGCTTTGGTAATTGTTACCGATTAAATATCATATTGCAATATTGTACATACTTTCAATGTATCTGGACTTTAGGATAAAAGATTAATACTGATTTATATTAATCAAAAGCCTAATGGCACAACTATTGGAACATTTTAATGTTTGTATTTCATGCATCTATAAAAAGCTACAAATTTCTGTTTATCGAGTGTAGTGAAAAGTTTTTCTACGACACAGATCAATCAGAATGTTTCACATCGAGCCGGATTCTTGTCTAACTTTATCGGATCCAGTGTGAATTCAAAAACGTTGAATTCGTGCAGCACTCTAGTCTATATTGCTACTTATTTTAATGAACAGTATTGGAAGTGATGGCCATCCATTGAAATCAAGAAAAAAAAACGTTATATGTAGTTTTTATCATAATAATTGAGAAATATGAAAAGCGTCTAGTGAGCTCGATGTTTTTTTCATTCGATGTATCTCTATACCGATGACTTTTGATAAAGTGATTTGTTGTGAAGCTACTATAATAGTGTGAAGCAATGTGGTTACTAGCATTGATCTACTAATGGATGCGTTTGACGCTTTTTTAACCATAAACCTATCCGATAGAATTTTATGACTAATCGAATCAATATCAAAAGTTTTATATTGAAACAAGGATCTCAAATGTTCGACTCATATCGAAAGATTGTCATGTCTTTGTTTGACATCATAAAGAACAATGGAGACTTTGGTCGAATGTAGGTTGTGTTCAAATCAAGGCATCAATTCATAAATAATATAATAATGATAGCTGGTTTAGATTAATAAAAGTTTTATAATAAATCCAGTTTGACAAAAAGAGCAAAACACGAACTTATACCTATTTTATTAAAATTTTCTAAGATGTTCTTTATGCTATTCCGAAAATTGTTAAATGATACTGAAATCGAAAACTAAAACTTTTCTACCAAACCTACCAATAAAACGAGATTATATCTCGTCCGATTATCGACACACAGAATCAATGTCATTTGCTTTTTTAATTAATCGAGATGATAGAAAAGAATAACAAAAATTTCATAAAAACTGATAAAATGAAAAAAATAATATCTATTGAAAATTTTCTTACATGCAACATTGATGAATCATTGATTTATCGATTCACGTTTTGTTTACTTTTGATAATCTTATCATTCAAAAATTTGCACTTTTTTTTTTTATAATGAATAGTTTATTTTAGATATTATTTTAGCTTCAAATCAAATATTATTTTCGGTTAAAATTTTTTGCTGTAAATTAATTTTTAAATGAATTCTTCAATATTTGATTGATGTCAAATTGAAATTGTCTTTAGCATTTGCATTGGAGATTTGATGTTTATTGATTGTTTGTTATATTTTTTTTAATCAAATTTGCGATGAAGAATATTAATGATATATGAAAAATTTTCTGTAAACTTATATTTAGCGTTTTTTTTATATTTAATTACACATTCATATTTATTGTCTTTTTAGACTTTTATTATTAATGTTCTTTTATGAAATCTATTGTGGATCAAAATTGAATGAATTGAATATATTCGAACTTTTTTCACAAGAAATATTTTGATGAATTTGATGTGATAGAAAACGACCGGTTTTTTATGGAAGACACCAGTTTTCGAGACAATCCGATCTTTTTCGAAAGAATTTACAGGCTGGATTGAATTACTTATGGTAATAATACCAACGACCCTTCAGCACACTATCATACTGCTAGCTATGATACGCCTAATGTTAATTTTTTTTTGCTTTGTTTTCAACTTTGTCATTTAATATGTATAACATTCTCCTGTTTTGCTTCTCTTTTCTCTCTATGATATATAAAAATACGCCTTATTTCTTTAATGTTGAAGACTCTCTTAATGATAGAAAAGGAAAATATTATCGTCATACACGCTTGAATGCGCATATTTTGTTCTTTTTTCTAATTTTCTCATCGTCTAATGTATGTTATTTATTTATTAAAAAGTACATTGCAATGACAACAAATACAATATCTCCATCATATGAGGATCCTACTGTGGTTGCTGTTGATCCTTCATCAACTTCTTCAAAACGTCAGCAACGTATTGACAAAGCTATGGTCTACTTTTCTTCGTTTATGTTTCTCGTTCAAATTATACTTGCTGCTGTCTTCTCTGGTATTGAACTTCATTATGGTGTTGATTATCGCTATCAATGTCCTATAGAACCTATGATCCCTATATTTCTTATTGTTCATGGAGCCACAAAATTTGTCTGGGTTGCAATGAGTATTCTTGCATTTATCAACGCTAGAATTATATATGGAATGATGAACAAGGCATTCGCTCGTCACTTTGTGCTTCCTAGTTTATTATTTCAACTTGTCTTTGCTTTATGGTTTTTTGCTTGGTTTATTGCAGGAAATGTATGGGTTTTTTCCAATAAGAGTCATGTACAATCTACAGATGCGGCAAATACAAGTACCTACTGTCAAAATACATTATATTCGGCAGCATTTGGCTTAATTATTTCAACATATATTGTTTTTGGTATCGTCGCAGTATTGACAATTAAACGACGTATAGTTGGTAAGAAGATCAAAGAAAAATTACCTTCCAATCCTGATGGTAATCACAACAAAACATAATAATTTTAAAAAGAAATGAACTCAAACTATATCTTATTTTTGCTTAGAACTAGTAAAAAGTTCATTTCACTTCTATATCATACAGGAAAAGCCTGTCAACACAGCTTTCAAGATCATCAGATTGAAATCTTGAAAAGTAGGTCATATGTGGACTACCTTTTTATGACAAAAAAAATAATTATAAAGACATGAAGGTAATACAAACGTAACGTAACTTCAGAGATTCACAAAACTATTAAAATCAGATAGTCGTTAATTGAACTACATGCTTCAATTAAATAAAGTACACACGAATTGTGTCTGATCGTGCTCAATCGAAATTTTTACAAGCCATGTGCAATCGAATTTTTTAATCAATTGAAAACAGATCAATCTATATCTTTAGAAATAATATAAACTAACCTGCTACTCTCAACTTTTGCTTTTCAGCAACTGATTAAGTCAAGAAATATAAATTTTTAATATATTGATAATGTGCTTGAATTAAATTTAATAAAAAATAATGCAGATTTTATTTAACGCCGACGCGTTGTGTGTTTCATTTTATTTAAAATTCGTAACACCTCTCAGGGCTCTGCATTTCAAGGAAAGCACAAAAAGGTGAAAAAAATACAGAATGTAATATAAATAAAAATTCAAATTAGCTAAGATGAAATAGAATTAAAATCAAATGCAAATTCAAATTCAGATTCAATAAAAATTTAAAAAGATATAAAGTTTATAATTTATAATGAAAAAGTTTTTATAATTTGTATGGCGATCATTGAAGCCTAGCGCCGTATTTGTAGCTTTTATTACGGTTGGTTGGAATTGTTAGCTGTTGAAAAATATATATCAAATTTATAAATATGGTTTCAAGTATTTAAATTTAAATTTAAAACATGATCCCAGATATAAAATTTAAAATTGTTGTCTCCAATAGTGTTCTATTTACTTCATTGATATTCGCAAATTGATTTTATATTTGTTTAAGGAATTTCTATAATATTTGTTGTTAAAATAGCCGATTTTGGTAATTTTTCTGATTTCTTAATTTTTGGATGCAACATAAGGATTAATTTAGAATTAACGATTTTTTGTAATTAATTTGCCCGATTTTTTAGATAGCTTGAACCTTTAACAAATTTTTAAATTTTATTCCAGCGTATGCATATCCAAAGAGGAAACAATTATTATAATGTGTATTTTCACAAATGTTATTATCATTTACTAAATAATGTTTTTCCGGAATTTTTCGAGAATTTATTACAATTTTATCTTTCATTTAGGACATTCCCTGTTGAATTTAAATTTTTAATTTTACAGTAAATTGACGACATGAATTTATGTAGTATAGGCATTGGTCAGTACTTTTGTCGATTCCGATAGAGAATATTATATATTGTTCTCATTAAAAATGAATTTTTTATGTAATAATTAATATTAACAATTTTTGATAGCATTTGTAGTTAAATTAAATGAATTTGTTGGACACTTTGAACCCTTTGCAAATGTTATTATTGTTTGTTATATGAGGGTGTGGGCATGGGTGCCGGTGTTGTTGTGGAGTGCGTCGGTGTAGGCGTTGATGTGGATGTCAGTGTGGGGTGTGTGAATGTAAGTGCTGCTGAGGAGAAGACCCAAACCTGCACCATAAAGAAACGAGAGCCTTGATCTTGGATCCAACGAATAGAAAAAGTACGGATCAAACTGATCTGGCCAAGATTGAGTCGACTGTTCAATTGACTAAGATGTTTCAAATCAAAAGAGACACTCCGAAAGTAACATTTGAAACAACAGCTATCAAATGTTTTGAATTATGACACTTCGTTCATGATCAACTTCGTTCAAAGCGATGTGTCTTCAAATTTGAAACCAATAAAATTAAGAATTACTAAAAAGAAACAACGAAGGTTGATACCGACAATAGAATGATTACAGCCATTGATCATGTTCTGATAATATTTGTTCTAACAATATTATAATTGGAGAAAGTCATGTCCTACATTACACACTGTTCAGTAAGTATTTCTTATCTGTACAAGTAACAATTATTTTGCACAATCTTATATTATACACTCTCATGTCTTAACAAAATTTATTGTGTTATACAAAAGAGATTGCGGGCTCTATTGCACACTGAACAAGCGAATCTTTCCATCACCTCTGCTTTTTGTTTTTATACGTCAACTTTTTTCACAGTACCAATGATTACAATAATACTCCATATTTCTCTGCATACGGCTGTTGATAGACGTGCCTGTTGGACTTTAAATGAAACATCGTCTCTCTGTTGAAAATAAATAAGCTATAGATGTAAAATAGATTAACAGTTTTGGCATGCACATTCACATGTCGCTTGATACGATGTCAGTCACCATATTGTGCAACGTTTTGCTAGACGTTTCTTCTACATATTTTTTCAAATCTATTTATTAAATTTTTCAATTATAGTAGAACATCAATTTTATTCCATTTCAATAATGTGGACAAAACTATCTGACGGTATTATTCTTCATCAAGACTTGATCAAACTATATCGTATAGTGGTGAATACTTCAACAGCAATATTTTGTACTCTATTTATTCTCATGGATATTGTATTACCTAAAAAATGTCTTGATCCACTTGTGAAATTGTTTAGAAAAATCTATTCATCCGATCCGCATCAAGACGTACTCCTCTGTCGTTTGAACAACAAAGAGAACCATACAGAGTTAACATCACCACCCATTGCATTGTATCAATTCAACGGACATCTCACTCATGTCAAACCTGCACAACGTTTCTACCTACTTATCGTTCCCATGCATCTATATATCATGTTTCTCATTTTTCAAAGTAAAATTGTCAACGAAAAACAAGAGCCGATTCATGTTATCAATTCAACTATTTCATTGGTAGAACAAATGAAACTTTACAAATGTAATAATGATACTGACATGTGCACCTCATTCCAATTCAAAGCAGAGAATCTAATTGATGCAGTGACAAGTCTAATTGCATGGTGGAATGGACTAACATTTCTGTTCAATAAACTTATTTTTCAGTGGCATCAAAAATTAATGAAAATGCATCATTCAACATATAGATTGATTCCATTGCGATATCAAATCAAAATTTCCCGATGCTTTAGTTGGTTTTGGGCGTTTGGATTCGTTGCTTACACACTTATGGATATTTGGCAGTCGTTTCCCTCATATTGGTTTGCTTTGCTGATGTCCTGGCTACTCATATGGTGTATCGCAGCAAGTGCTGCAGCTGAGTTTATTGAAACATGGATAACACTTGATCTCGACAAGCAACGTCTAGTGATTGGTGAAAAACAATTGAATGCCACTCGACCTGTTATCATTCTTGAAGAAGTACAACCCGAAAGTATCTTGAAGAGGTTTATTCGTCAAACAGAACCGATGTTATCAATGTTTGTTCACTATCAAACATCGACTAAATCAACGACACCAACCCATAGCTATTCGAAATTCTAATATAGTTACTATGCCCGAGATGACCATATACAATTTCATCTGAAAATAAAAAGCTGACTGTAAAAAGATTCACATATGATACTGTAATGGACAAAGATAGCTGGTTCAATAGCTGTTGTTTCAGTGATACAGATTGTAGAGTGAACTTTGACTTCTCGTAGTGAAATTCAGTCTGTACTTTGATTTGATTTTTAACAAGAAGTATTTGTCATATACGTCACAATAGTTTTATCATAGAAAGGTGGGAAATTAAAATGTTGTTGACATACGATGTACCTTGATTAAATAATCATAACAATATTTTTTCCTTAATATAGAATTCTTTTCAATATTCAGAAATGACAAAAAAAACATATTTTTCTTTTTCATACGCTAGTTTCATCATTAATTGATCGCAACAAAAAAAAGTACGAATGACATATAAGGAAATATAATTAGATTAAAGTTCAATGAAAACTGAAACCGAGATATTCATCACAATTGAAGTTCAAACGATGTTCCAAAAATTACTGCTATCAGGTTAATGCAAATGTGTCAATTATATATAGTTGGACGTACAAAATACAATGATGAGTGTATGATTGACAGATATATCACGATACATCTAGACTACAACAGATTTTCTTTTAGTGTGTATTATCCAATTACATTTTAGATATCATCTATATAATGACCCTAACCCAAGCAATGGTCCACATACAAAGGAATAGTCAAATGCATCCTTTTTTCAGTTCGAACAGTCGTCAGCTATTTATTGAGTATCCTTCTAGAGTTTGAACATCATGTCTACAATGAAGGATATTGAGAATAGCCAAACGTCAGTTGTTGAATCGAAAAGTCGATTGACTTTAAATTCACCATTGGTATCAACACTTGAATGTATATCAAACGAATTGTTGATGAAACTATTCGATTTATTTGATTAGTATTCACTATATTTCTTATTTTTATCGGTCAACTCTCGTTTTTGATAAGATTCTTGCCAATTATCATAATATCTGTGTTGATCTTGATTCTATTCCTTCGAATAAGATTATGTCTCATCTCGGTCAACATCTTTTTCCACTCGATTCACGTCGAATTATCGCACTTCGTTCATCTATTAAATGGTATATCAAGCTTGTCCTACATGATGATCTCGCTTTGGATCGTTTTTCTTTCTTTCGATCGCTTACTCTAATCAATATTGATCGAAAAACCGGTCAACTGTTGATGAATTCCATCTCTCCTCTTCGTATAAATCTTGTTCCCCTTTTTCTATCATTTGGTATTTCACATAGTTTTTGTATTCTTCTATCATTTTATTCCAAACTACGTCAATGTTTTCTACCTAATGGAACATCTTGTTTGGATTTGAACCATCTGCAGTGGAGCATGATCCAATATCTTCAAATTAGCTACGTACAGTGTCAAATAGATGTTGTGGTCACACATCTTCTCATGCATTCATCTTATATCTTCCAACGTCGGCACTTAGCCATCTAACAGTGCATTCCTCTGTTCTAAGTTTTTCGTCAATCGAATGGCTGCTTGTGTACACCCCACGCCTTCGAACTCGTCATGTATATAGTCACTTCATCTTGGGAACGCATGATCAATCCAGTTGAATGAGAACAAGTTTTGTTACACGAAATCAAGCAACTCGATGTGAAAATAGCAGTAAAAGAACCAACCACTTTACCTTTAAAATGCTAAAAACCAATAACTTTTGGCAACTGCAAAAATAATATGTCGAAAGTTTCGTCGATTCATCTCCCTATCTTCATATGCATAGCTGAATACGTAGGCAACTCTCTCATTCATTTCGTGTGTTTGTTCAAAGTGCATATAGTGATACGTTCAGACTTTGTGTCATTTCAATGTATTCGTGATTATTTATCCAATAAAATCTATAATAATTCATCGAAGAACAGAAAAAGAAAAGAATGATCGCATGTATTTTATTTTAATCTTTTTCACATTTTATTTCTTACAAATCTGATCTGTCAGTGGAGTAACACATGTTGATGTGCGAGTGAACATGATGAGAACAATCCACTCTGCTTTATGAATGATATATTCACAGAAGGATCGATTTTATTGAACTGAAAAAAATTCGAATAGTTAGAGAATCTTCAGTTCTCTCTTCTGTCAAAATTGAAGAGGTCGAAAACTTGATCAAACTGCCACAAATTAAGATCATACTTTGTAGATAGTAACGTCAGTTTGTCATGCTTTTTTCATATTATTTATTTGATAATTGTGCTGCAGCTTTAGATTAAAGTAAAAATACATTCTACAAAAATGAAGCCAATTAGATTACACAATTGTTAAAATAATAAGTTTTCTGAAAATATAAAATCAAAAGGCAACGGGAATTTGACTTTAACACAAGATATTCGACATTTTATGCGGATCAAAACTTATCAATATATACAATTCTATATACTTATTCATTTACAACCCGCAATTGCACCAGAAAAATGAACTGAAGAACTGATTTTTTGTAGCATTCAGGTTTCGTTCACTGTATTTTCTAACGCCATTAAAAATACTTCAAAAACATTTTGCAGGCTTAAAAGTCTCATCAATTTCGAATACAAGCATTTGTCGACTACTTTGAGTAGTATAAGATTTAATTCAACTTTAAATACCACTATTATCGCTTTGTCAACTACATTCAATGCTTCAACTACCTCAACTACTGCTTTCGATGCTTTTAAGTAACCTTTATTATAAAAAAAAGTTTTTTCTAGATACCATCGAAAGAATGGCATAGCTGCGTATTTATTGCTCACGGCCATATGAAAATTTGATCTTGCTAAAGTTAAACTCTCAATGTCAACTTTTATCATGATTTCCAAATTTGTTTTCGTAGAATTTAGCAATATTTCGCGCAGCAGTGAATGTAGGTTTGACGTAATAAAAGCTCATAAAGTTCCTCATTTTTACCTTTGGAAAACTCATCTTGTGGCTTTTTCTCCGATCCATGCAGAACGATCAATTTTGATAATTTTATAATTGAAGAGAACATTATTTTTTATAGAATTTCTATGCAAATTCTAAGAAACATCCTGTTTGTTATTATTAGGTTATCTTGTATAGAATTCAACTAAAATGACTATTGTCAGTTACAAGCAAGTGTTGGTCTGACTAAAGATAAATTCATATTCATGAACATCATTTTGATGGAAATTTTGACTTGATCGTTTTCATCGACTCATAAATGTAGTGAAAATAGCTATTGATTGTTGATTTATTGTTATAGTTAAAAGATAATTATGACCAACTTTATCCATTACTGTTCATTATATCTGTGATCGAAAATATCGCTCGAACATAGATATATACTTCCACAAATGTTGATTATACTTTTTCTGGTCTTATCGTTTTCTATTCGTCTTAGACATATCAATTCATTCATGCATTTATAAACTAAAATATAAGTAAGGTACTCCACTTGAAGTACATTTCTAGAAGATATTTCGAATCGCACTTTATGTTTCATGAGCGCCAGATTATCGTTTAAATGACTTTTCTCTCAACTAAATCTCAAATAAAATGAAGTGTAAATAAACTGATAGAACACTTATAATCATTTTAGCATAGTTTATCTAGTATCTTCAGTATATTCAATTACTTTATATTAATTTAACTAATTGATTTATATAGAAGTCTTTTAGTACATAATACCAAATAAACTCGTTTCTTTTCATGATTGGTTTCACGCTTTGAACAAACGATCAACTTGAATAGGTAAAGCGTTGCAATTTGTCAAACTCTTCATGCTTCAAAGAGACTGATTCTCTATGACCAAGGATCACCACCTAACAAATGTTTAAAATTCATAAACCGAATCTATGTTTGTTACTTATTTATTTAAATAAAAATCCCTTTCTATACTATCACTTATACTATGTTCGAAATCTAAACCATTCCAATTTTAAATCAGATCATATTTATTTCCGGAAATCTACTTTCTTGCTTACAATAAAATTCAGCTGTTTTATGCACATCATTTTCTTTTCACATCTACTAGTCCTTGCTAATTCTAGTTCAATTTTGTTCTCTTTTTTCTGAGACGCTTTTGTTCATGTTTTATTTAAATAATAAATTCACAATAAACAATATATTTGCGTACGAGGAAAATAACTTATTATATGTTCAAAAAGTTCTCATGTTTCACCACAAAAATTCTCAGGATCTCCAACAATTTTTATTCCTATATATAAATTAACGTAATTCATTTTTGCACAATTATTTCGTGTTTCTATTGCTTGTGAAATTACATGTCACTTGTTTCACTGGTTCATAATGCATACTAACATGGACATCAAATGGTAAAAACGTTGTAGTATTGAATAAGAATTGTTTTATGGTAATCTTTGCAAGTACAAATAATATCAAATTGTTTAAGATAAGGATATTTAATGATCGATAAATGTTGATTTCCATTGATTGATTTACTACATTCTTTATACATATGGCAATAACCTTTCTTTTCTTTTGGAAAATAATCAGTTCAATAGATTATTTGTTTATCATTAAAAACTTTGAAAGTTCTCTGAATATCTTGATTTAATGATAAATTAATTTTATTATAAAAACTACTTAATGAATGAATATTAAATGTGAAATTGTTTAATTTTGGTATATAATTAATGATATTCATCTTCAAATCATTACCATCAAAAACTGTTTTCCTTTCACGTACAATAATAGACAAATCAAGCTTTTCTAAATTCGACATTTAATGTAAAAGTGGCACCACTAATTTATCATAAACAGTTGTTATCGTCTTACAGTGTAGACAAAAGCATTTTAAACTAGGTAGTTCTCTCTACAAAAAAAATATTATTATTATTTGATTTAAACTAGATATCAAATAAAATAATCTCCACCGTATTGTTGACGATCCTATCCGAAGAGAAAATCATATTAACATCAACGTAAAGTGAACGAAGTTGATGGAAATGTCCATCAAGTAAATAAAGACAATCATCAAAAGTATGCAAAGAGACATGTAATTCTAACAAATTTGTAGAGATAATAGTTGAACGTCTCATACAAAAGAATAATCGATCATCGTAAATTGAAGATCGATCAAAATTTAAATATTGTGAATTAGTGAACATAGTCAGGATATGATTAGATATAATTGCATTATTGTCTCGTTTATAACATTCTGTTCCTTTTGTACTAATGTAGATAGTAAACAATGATAAAGTATTAAAAATTCATTGATTTTATTCTAGATTTTCTTTTTCAAAAATTTGTTGAAAACTTTAAATTAGAGACTACATGCAGATCTTTCATTTTTGTATAAGTACTTAAACTTCATGAAAAATCATCTCTTTCACGATAACCTTCTTCTCTTCATACTAACAAATCCAAATACAATGAAATTATTTTGAATTTAGTAATATCTATAATAATTATCTTTGATTGGAAGAACAAAAGTATCTTACCCGTAAAAAGATCTCTAGCTGTTTTTGTTTGAATATTATATACTAGCTATAATTACTAAGAGATTGTAAGATTTTACAATGCGTCAAAGTTATAGACAGCACAGACCAAAGAATACAGTGAATGGTGAAAGTGAAATTTTAAAAAAAAATATTTAGATATAGAAGTTACAATTTCGACCGAACTTTAACTTTTCAGTTCTTAGAAAACAAAATCTCAATATAGAAAAATTAGCCATTATTAAAAATAATACAAATTCCATTAATTTTCATATAAAAATTGATTTGGAATAAATAAAATTATACTTATGTAAAAACAAAGGATATTTTAAAAAATTCTTATGTCTTGATTGTGAGAAAACAGTGAGTTTCTACAGTGTTATTCGTAGACACTGTCTCAGATTTATTGATGTTAGAAAAAGTAAATAATAAAATTATTATAGCATAAAAGATATTGACAAAAATATTTCTTTTTATTAGGACAAGACACTTGTTGAGAACGATATTATTTGCTAAAAAAGAAAACAACTTTAATAATTACACAAGGATTTATAATAGAACACAATCATTTGGAAGATGATTGCAACGAACAACGAATCAACGGCAACATTCACACCTGCAAGTTTTTTTTCTAAATAAATCCTTATTATTCATTGTATTGTTCAGATTTATCTAAATAATATAATAGATAACAATATTCTATGCAAATCCTATCATATCATCCGATTTATCACTGAACAATAAGAAGAATCAATCAAATTATAAAGCATAACAACAAATAACGCGAAAATGATCTACACTATCTAATCAACATCTTCTGTTTGATAGACGACGTAGAAACTCCGACATAAACGAAACACCTCAACTCAAACGTCTGTTGCCGAAGGAATATCTTACAGCATCCGATGTTGAAAGATCTTTTATAAGATTGTTTGACGTGGGAGGATATCAATCATGTATTCTTACCATAGCAATTCAGATTGTAGAAGTGTAAAACTATTAGTATAATAAGAGAAGACTGAATTTTTATTTAATTGACGTAATTTTTTTATTTATAGTAGTTTACAAGATTTAGCAACAACATCGGGTTTTACATCAGAATAAAGGTATCATTTGTTTGTAACATGTATAGAATCATGAGTAGGGTGAAAAACTTTGAGCACAATTCACACGAGATTAAAATGTGAAACATATTAGAGTTGATTGATCTGTTCACTAAGACCCTTACTACACTTATTCTAACATTATACGATAATATACTTCAACATCTATTAATAGGCGTGTTTCACAAAACAGTTTTGAATACAATCATTCTTCAATCTTTAACATGCTAGTGTTCTCATTTTTCGATGAACTGATCGAACTAAACTTATAAAATTATTTCTAAACACGGTCCCTGTTAATGTGTAGATATAAAATGGCATTCCAAAAGTCATAAAACTCAGAAGATAGAATAACTGAAAACAAAGATTTTCAATTGTAGATCTTAGCAAACTTTTCGAAACATTTAATGTTGATGTTAAATAGAGACGTTGAACAGCCAATGGAACATTAAATATAGTCAATAGGATAATTTGAACAATTAACATTTGAATCAATTGTCGATCTGTCTTCTTCATTGTCATTGATGTTCCATGTACGTTAGACGTCGTTGCAATTGAACAAAGTAATTTTCTCAGATTTTGTACAGTTGCAAATCCAAATATCAACATAATGGTTGATGGTATAAAAACGAATGCGAGTGCTGAAGCAATTTCATTATACAAACGACATGCCATATTTTGACCGTAACATGTCAATGGAGAATTTTTAAGATTTGGCACATAACAATAGAAAGTTTCGGCAAATATCAATGATCCACCGACAACCGCAAAGATCATTAATCTGCGTGTGAAACGAAGATTGCTAAAATTTCGACGACGTGCATCACGACAACTTATACAATATCGATCGATAGTAGCATAAGTCAAAAGCCAGGATGAAGTCGTTGTTGATACCCAAACGATGAATGCACGCAATTTACAAATTGTAGCATCGGTTGCTGATATATCAAGTGAGAAAGTGGCAAAAATTCGACTAGTTAAGCCTGAATAAAGAGCAATTAGACCAGCAATAGATGCATAAAAAAAATAGACAGCACATGGATTTGTGCGATGTTTAGGTTGACAAAATATGAGCAAATTCAAAATATTTCCAATTGTACCGAATAAAAGAATAAATATTGAAAAATAACGATTTATTCCAAATGTAACTGCTGTCAGTGTAGAAGTTATACTGGTAGATGTTGCAGTCGACATTGACATCAACAAAAAAAATGGAAAGTAAAAAAATCTTCGTTATTTCATTAACAATTGCGTGATACTTCAATCTTTTCCCATTATACCACTAGTCTGTGGGTGACATCATGACAAAATTTTACTAATGACAAAAGCACAAGTTCTAATGAGAAATTAAAGCAGCAGCTTACCGCTACCTTTTATAATCATGTTTATTGATCTAATTCATGTCGCCAGCAGGTGTCTATTCCAGACATTATATATACTCATATAGGAGAGAGTGACAAAAATAGAGATGAGAATACAAGAAAAAATAGTAGAGAAATGATGAAGAGAATAAAGGAAAAGAAGATTAGTGAAAGATGACATCAATATCGGTACGCTCTCATACTCAGATTAGACGTGCTCCTAAGCGTCTCTACACTGTGGAAGAGAAAAGATACGATCGTCATTGAACAATAAGATTAGAAACAACAATTTCAATTATACATTTTCACACTCCTACAAAAGATCTCTTTAACAATTTACAAATCATACTAGCATTTACGCAGTGACAGAAGAAAAAAAAGTCTTACACAACACTGAATATTTAGAATAGTTTATCGTTACATTCCGAGCTGGCTAACTTCGACATTTCATAGAAAACACTCAACAAAACAAGAGTCCAAGGCGAACGAAAAACAGAGAAATATCCATTTTTATGATATCAATTAGTATACATGAATATTTCTTGCAGCACAGAGAATACACAAAAATTTAACTTCACAGAATTCATAATAGTTATGTACTCAATCCGATACTTTCACACTTACCTCTCTTCATACAATATCATTACATTAAGACATAAAAAACAAACGTATTACTCTCATATGAATAACGAAAAAAAGCCAATCGTTTGTTTAATAAACTCGAGCATATTTTTCGTTATCAACTCTCAAACAAGACGAAATAAACCGCAGAATACATAATATCAAATCTGATGCGTAAATGATACCTAAACCAATTTCTTTTTATACTTCATGATCAGGATACTTTTACTTTCCACATATAAACAGAAGTCACAGAGAAAAAGAAGTATAGCATTTCAGTGCTAATTAAAGATCTATAGAAAGCAACGCATTCTCTACAAATTCAATCTTCTTTCTAATAATTCTGCATACACAAAAGAAAAAGAAAAGTAGGTTGAGATTTCATATTTGATTACATCGAATGCAACATTTCTAGTTAGTGCAAAAGAAAAGCAAAACTTATGCATCCTCAAGAATATTGAAGAAAAACAGCATGGTTTTGACATCTTTGAAATGTAGACTATCACTTCTAGCAGATGATAGATTAATTATTATCGTCAATTTTTAAAAACGATTGAGAAATGCTTGTTGAGTATTACCAAGATCATATGTAACATGGTCAGCTCATTTAAGAAGACGTTCATGATTACCCCGAAGCATTTCAATTGTCATTTATTCGTCTTATGGAATATCAATTGGATAATGTTTGAATAAATTATAATTTTCCTTTATTCAAATAGATAATTCAAAGATATATAAAACGTACAAAAAAAAGCAGTTAACTACATTGCATCCCACATATACTGTAAATTTTCTCTATATAGCTAATCTTTAGTTTTTTGACACTCTCATTATAATAAATACAAAATATTGAAAGTTTACCAAAGATCTTATTTTTACTGAATTTCTCTTGTAAGCATCCCGATTTCCCATGGCTTTTGTGAAAAATTCTGAAATTTTTTATGAACGATAGTTTAATTGAATTCTTACTATGTCACAGTGATAGTTTCAGATCAAAATTCGGTATCTCAATCTAGGAGATCAATGAAACGAAACCAAGATAGACTTTTTAACTACTAACTGTGTCCGTCTAATGAGCATAGTCTTGAGCATAAAGTGATTTTACACCTGAACAGTTTTTCTCGTCAGTAAACTGAAATTGAACAAGCCAGTGTTCGCCGAATCTGTTAGAAAGTGTTTTCAAAAACAAACCAAAACTATGATACGATAGATGTCGTATTTTTAGAATTGTACTTGTCTATTATATCTGTATTATTCAGTGTTTTATGTGTGTACATATGAGAATGAGATCAAAATTAGATTCTATCCTTCGTTAAAATAAAAATTGGAAATGCAAGTAAAATTTTTATCTCAATATTTAGGTAGATTTTCGACAGCTTTGTTGTTTCTCGTCATCATCAAACTAAATCCAAAATGCATGTCACATCCTTTATTTAATTACAATTAATCCATCGTTAACTTGCGTACAAGTAACGCTCGTCTATGTGACTCGTTTGTCCCTGGACTGAATATTCAGCTGTTTCGGTATTGTATAGTGCTTCGCAGTCCTCAACACAGCTAGTATCAAAAGTTTGAAAATGGTTTACGTGAATGCGAATATTGACATACGCATCAATGGTCTTGTGTACGATGACATGCGTACGTCTGTGATACGTTTTCTTATAAATTCATCCAACGAAACTAAGACGCTCTCAATGATATCCAACCGAAATCTAAATGAATAATACTACGGCAGCAGTATCCACATGCCTCGGGAAAAGAGAGTACATTTAATGTACCGAGAGACAATCAACAAAGAAAGCACAACCACGATACTAGTGTGAAAACGCATCATACTTCTTGAAAACAAATGAAAACCCCTATAGTTATCAGCACATCAACCGACAATATCATTTACTAGTATCCACTACAAAAACGCGCATGTAGCTGAACTTGCAGATTAAAATAAATTACATTTGATCAGACTTATTCTCGGAATATGCCACTTGAATGACGCTTGCACTCAAAGTAGTCATCGGATCAGGCAGATAATTTCAAAGTACTCGAATAAATTTAGACGAGTAAATGCCCAGAGACACGGACACATAATGACAGAAAAGCTTATTCGATTTCATTGAAATCTACTTTGAATTGACAGAGTTGAATTCACTGCATGATGTTTTTCGTCGAATGTTCTATTCAAATACTGTGCACGTGCAGTACAACTGTTCTCACATTTCATTCGAAAACATTTCTTAGTCTTTTTTGCCAGTTCTAGTTTCTATTGAACTTGCCAGACCTTCACTGTAGACATTTTTCCGACGGATGGGTGTGTGGATGTGGGCGTAGATCTGTTATTCATTCACACCCACACCCACACCCTATTCATAGAATAGTGATTTAAAATGAAAAGGATGTGAGTATGGCTGTTGGTAACGTGTAGGTTGGGATGTCGGTGTAGGACGAATGTTGGTAGGTGGACGGCGGATGTCAGTATGACTATTATCGATGATAACATCTACAACCGCACGTATACCCACACCCACATCCTATCACAGATATTCCCTTGAACTTTTCTTTTATACGAACAAACTTTCCAACTACTACTCTATGTTGTTATTTTCGACTGAATTATAAAAATCAGTTGTTTGTCTCTAAAAAAAAGCTCAACTCAATCTTTCTCTTTTAATGCCTTAAGTTTTCCATGTTTCTTCAGTGTCTAGAGCGATTGAATCTTGTGCTATCATTTATATGAATCAATTTTGATATATGACTAGAAAAAGAAATTTTATGGTACCGAATGCGCTTATAACGAAGCTCAAAAGATCGGTCGACGTCGTTCATTTGATTAGTTCTCTTTTGAAAATATAAATTGATTTCAAGAGCTTTGTAGTCATCATATTTGGCACCGTAGGGATTCTTTTTCTAGTGACATGTCAAAAGTAATGCATAGAAATAATAGTAGAAGAACTAACCGAGCTAGACACTGAAGAAAACGGAAAAATTACGGCATTAAAAGAGAAAGATTGAGTTGAGCTTTTTTTATAGAGACAAACAACTGATTTTTATAATTCAGTCGAAAATAACAACATAGAGTAGTAGTTGGAAAGTTTGTTCGTATAAAAGAAAACTTCTAAGAAATATCTGTCAGATGAAAAAAAAATCAATTGGTTAAGTTTGGTAATTAATGAAGTAATAGAAATTAACTTTTCCGGGAAATTGTCGATATACCCTGTAGAATAGGGCAAGAATGCTAATCCAGTGTTATCTATAATAAATGTTATATATAGATTTGGCGTTATTTAGATACTATTGTAAATGATTCTCTATCCAAAGAGAACGCAAAAAAACGATATTTTGAAAATAAATAAATTAGCTATAGGTAGATATAAAGATAGAAAATTTGATTATACTTATTAGTGAAAAAAAGTTGATTACTTTCCCTACAAACCTAAGCTATCACCGTCCATGATAGTTTGATTTATAATGATGCTTTCACCTTTTCAATATAGAAATTTTTATTAAAAGACACAATCAACAAATAACCTTCTCATTTTCTCAATATGAATCAGTTCATCTTCAAACATTGAATGGCATGCATTGTCAACTATATTAGAAATTTATTTCCAATATTTATTCAATCATTTTCTCGACAGTACTAAACTAAAAAAAGCATTGATGAAAATAAAGGAGATTGAATATCAGTCCATTAATTGTCAATTATGAATTATTTTCAAATTGAAAAAGTGTCCATCTGTATGTAGGCAATGCTTATCAAATATAACTGAACAATGAGGTATTATATACTTATCCATAAAACTTCTCGAAGTTGTTATTATGGAATTGATCTTACTTTTTTTCTAACTCAACCAAATTATATAAATATTTCTCATTAAAAATTTTAGATAATCTTCATTAAGATATAAATATAAAATCTTTGTCAATTTCTCTATATATTGGTCACATCATGAGTTTTCATTTAATAATGAAACTCAAGGTTTTAATGAATAGTTACATCGTAAACTCAAAATTAAACACATTTATCAACAAAAAGAAAACGTGAATACTAATCATTAAGTTGTCTATAACGTAGAGCTTTTATTGCTTGAGGTGATATATGATTTAAAATGAATGAAAACGTTTATTAACTAAATAACTACTATTATATTAATGATGAATAAATCTTACTAAACGATCCTATTTAGATGTAGATCTGCTCAAATAGTATACGCACTGATTTTCAACTTTGATTTTTTTTTATTAGTCTATTTCTTTCGAATGACCTAAGATGATATTTCTTAATTAATTAGTAAAACACCACGTATTCAAATTCGGAAGAGACTATTGATTAGAGGATCCAATTTGTGGATGGGTTCTTGCATTGTCATCTCTATGATTCGATAAACTATATAGACTCAAGTTGATCTTACTAGTATGATCACACTGTCTATTCGTTCTTTTCATGTGAGATCCAACATTTGATAACCTGTTGGTGATCAATGGAAAACCACTGTCAGCATCGACTACTGATGCTACCTACAAGAGAAAAATTATCGCCTGTTTTATTTATTAAGATAGTTTCTTATTGTATTCAGATCTACTTGTTATAAAACTAAAAATCAGTCTTATAACGATAGGAAATACAACATGCCCGGCAGACGAACATTGTTGGATACGGTCGTAAACGGCGATGAAATGACATAGTAGGAGGCGGATGTTGAAGAAAGAATGTTAGCACGACTACCAAATCGGTTCATTTGCTTTCGAGCGACATAAGTCATCGAACTGATACGTTTAATTGATTGCACCACCGGATTGGGTTGCGTTGGTATTCGATTAGCGGGTACGATGTACACACGGCCTATAGACTTTTGCAATCGTAATAGCAGAAGATTTCTCTTGCCGAGCGGAGCCGATATGCACAAATTACCGTCGGGTGTCCATTGAACTGTTGTACCAAGACGTTCAAAGATCATATCACCCTCAATTGAAACAAGTACAGGAATATCACTTAATTTAAGATGAATCTTTGATTGGGAGAAAAGATCAGACAATAAAAGAACATCAACACCACCGTACCAGTCGGTGAAACGGGTCGGCGATCCGACAGCAAGCAAACATTTGTCTTTATAAATGGAAAAACTCTGCCCAAAACGATCTTTTTCTTGTGCGCCCGAGAGAGTAAGGATGAGATGGGGCTCAGGTTCAAACGAGTACACGAACAGTTTACCCTTGTCGGCTGGTGCACTAATTATGAGAGCTGGATAAGTCACACTATTGATGCACGATGGTGGAATAATTTCAAGTGAATAGCCAAATTTCGATTTCGCTGTTTCACCCCAAATGGTGAACGATGCAGCGGCAACAGTGAGTTTATCATTCGACATATGATGGCCAGAACTCAGGAAGATCCATACAGCTCCTTGTTGCGGTTGATTATAACCGTTCGGTTGAGCGTATGGACTGGTAATGATCAAATCAAGCCGATTATCATTATCGAGATGTGCCGTATGTAGTTCGAATCCGATCGAGTCATGTTGATTCACTCCATAAATACTCTTATATGGTTGTGATTGAAGACCTTGTGCACCACCGGCAAACACAAATACTGCTCCTACAAAGCCAAATCCGTGTGATGGACTGCTAACGACCAGATCGTCAATTCCATCGTTGTTCCAATCAAGGCGAGCCAATGCTGAACCGAATCGATCACCATCACATTCTGGTGAAATAATTGTTTGATCGGCAAGTCCTTCAATAACCGAAATTCGACGATCGGGTACGAGAGGACGATTCACTTGACCATAGATGATGAACACTCGACCACCTTGAGCACATCCGAGTACATAATAATCGGGTGCCGACACGACAAGATCGGTAAGTCCATCACCGTTAAAATCACCGAAGAGTGTTGCATGACCAAATGCTGCATAACTTTGATTTGAAATGAGTCCAGTCGAAATTTCGGTGTTGCCAAATGTTGGCAATAACGCAAGAGAATTGTCCGAAGAAGGTAAATAGTCGGAAGATGTTGATTGAACATACGATGTCAATTCTTGCTGTTGTTGATGTGTGACATGGTGAGGAATGAAACAATTCAGATAGTATGGATTATTATTGGAAAATGTACAAATATCCGTTCCTTGTTCGTACATTGCAATAATCTGATCCCAATATCGAACTGTCAGCTGAGCCATATTTGTCAAACCACCGTAGTAATATTCATGTACTTGATCAAGTAGAAAACTATTATTGCGTGAGTATGGCGGATATTGGACACCAAGAAGAAGAGCATCAGCAAATCGCCCAACAAACATAAGATTAGAACAGGTCTGAACATGTATTGCAGTAGCATCTGTTTCAAGCGGTGAGTTATAGGCGACAGCATATCGTGCATAGATCTCTTCAAGTTCCTTACTTGGAACAAACCACTTGTTGATGAGCCCTATGAAACATAAAGAGATCATTTTTAGAAAAACCATTCGTTTTTTGGTCTTTTACCAATATAACCGATCGGTAATTCGTAATTGATAACAGCATCTCCACCTGTATCAGCACTGTCATGTGCCATTTCTCGATTATCATTGAAACTCTCCCAAG